TTTCACCTGTGGAGAAGTACCTGCAGGATTTCCTCTCATAATGAGTTTCGCTTTGGCTCAGTAAAGAGGTAGCAGCTGGTGTGGACTGTGAGCAGACAGCTGTCTAGGAAGCCAGTCTCCTGGCAACTGAGGGAAGCCCGTGCAGAGGACAAAACACATCCTTGTTGTTGCCAAGTTCCCAGCACTGGATGTTGTAAAGATGAGCTAGACATTTCGAGGCATTTTGGTGTGCGAAATACAAAATACGAGTACTGTGATGTAAATATTAGAATCTTTTGCACATACCACATCCCAACAGAAAATATATAATGGCTTTTGGCACATGGTCTGTGTAAATTACTTCAATATTGCACAGGAGTTAATCAACAGAAAATTATAATAAATAAAATAGGATAAAGGTCTGCATTTTTTTCCTTTAAAATTGCACTTGGTTTGTGTAGCTCTAATATTTGAGGATTTATACTCACGTGTTTTCTCATTTATGCAGCTGTAATAGAGAAAGTAATTCTTTGAAATATCTTTTAATGATTATTTCCCTTCATGGAATAAATGTTCTATCATTAATGAATACAGCTAATAAAGACAATTCACTGAAAAAATTCTCCAAAGATACCTCAGGGTAAAGCAGAGATCCTTCAGACTATGAAATAATCAACAAATGCCAGAATAAAGAAAAGATCCAAGTTTTGACTTTGTTGTTCATTTATTTATCCTCCCAGGTGCTGAGACTGCAGGTGTGAGCTGCCACACTCAGCACTAAGGACTTCTAGATTTACTTCTCTGGTCATTTGGACTGGCATCCTCGGATCTTCTATGTCAAATTGATTGAGAAACAGACTCTGCCTCTTGGAATAATCTGAAATTCTAATATTAATAAGCTTCCCTTTTATTATTTAAAGTTCTTTAGCTAAAATGTTATATAGTATAATTGACTGCTTTTGGTGCTCAGTTTAAACAAATTCTCACACATTTTTAAGTATGTGTTCCCAGGCTACTAAAAATTTATAATCTAGATTTAAGGGCAAATATTTTTCACGGCACGAAACAGTGAAAAGAAATTTTCACATATAAATCCCCAAGTACTAGAGGAATCAGAGTCAGAAGGAAAAGATACAGAAAAATAAGGAAACAGAGCAAGCAGCACAAACCCAACCTGCTTTATGGCTTTGCAGATTTGCATGCAAGGCTTAAAGGTCAAAGTCCACTTTGTCTACCTTTCAGAAACTTGATAAAAAGTACCTTATACTGAGCATGGAAAACCACGGGGCAGTGGAGACACTGTATTTTTCAAGTGAACAGCTGCCACCATGAAAATTATTCTACATAAATAAAGAAGGTCTGCTCAGTCTGTTGTTATGAGACACGAAACAGAGATGGATAAATCCCCCTTTCTCATGTGAAGAAAACATGATTTTTTTTTTTCCTGAGACAAGGTTTCTCTGTGTAACAGCTCTAGCTATCCTGGAACTCACTCTGTAGACCAGGTTGGCCTCGAACTCACAGAGATTCGCCTGCCTCTGCTTCCCAAGTACTGGAATTAAAGGTGTGCACCACTACCACCCGGCAAAGCATGGAAATTTTTAGTCGAAGTCACTTCAATGTTGTCACCAGCAGTTAATCTCTTGACAAACCAACATATGTCTGGCCTACTTTGGATGAATAGAAATAAGGGAAAAGGTTCATTCCTTTGTCAAGAGTCTGCAATGAATTGAGTAAACATAAGACAGAGGTCAGAAACTTTAAAGCAGGACTAATTTTAGAAGATTGACGAGCATCTGAGTGTTAAGTCAGTAGGCTTTGGCAACAGAACATGCTGTTAAAAAGCATTTGTGGGCTGCCTGATTAAGCTACAAATGCCTGGCATTGACATTGTCAGCACACAATAGATTTTGACTTTTGCCAGAGGGAGATGAAGTTCTAATCCTAGTGATCCAGATAAAGTCTTTGATTACTTTATCTCTTTAATGGAATTCCTACAGTTGCTCTGATAGAAACTAGGTGAGGCTGGACAGAGGACTTAGTGGTAAAGAGTGTTTGCTGCTCTTGCCGAAGACTGGGGTTTGGTTGTCAGCACTCACACCAGGAAGCTCATAACTGCCTACAGCTCTAGTGCCAAGGAGGAATTCAACACTCTCTTCTGGTCTCCAAAGGCACTTGCACACACAGCGCATGTGCATACATGGAGGTACACACATACATACAAAGAAACTAAGATTCTTATTACACCTCAAGATGGCCTGAAACATTCAACTTCTCAGCGCTAGAATCATCAGTGAAACGAACTTGTCATGTCATTGGCTGACAAGGGAGCCCAAGACCAGGGATTTGATAATGTCCATTTGTTAATCTGACTATAGTTTATGACAAATTACAAATGCCTAGAGTTTTATGTACTGTTTGAGGTTTACATATCTCTCTGACAGGAGGAAGGGCTTGTCAAGTTTGTGATTTATAGCTTTGACATCAATTTCCAAATCATTAAGTACATTTTTTTTTTCAAATGGGAACAGTTCTAGATGCATCCTAACAGATCGCTCAGCAAGAACAGATGGTGAAGAGAAATGTTCTTTGAACTATTTAATAAATTCAGTGGCATTGTTTCCTGCACACTGGTGGAGCTTTTCACTAGTACTAAACTCTCATCATTTGTTTTGTTTGTTTGTTTGTTTGTTTACCTAGTAACCTCCAGCAGGATTCATTTTAAATATATTTCCAGAGGATCTTATTCATAAAAATCTAAGGAGTAACGTAGGAATCTGAATATTTGGGGCATGTGGGTATTGGGAAGGGAACCCAGGGCCATGTATAGAGATTCTTTACTTTCACCAAGCACCCTTGGAGATGTAGGATGTTCTTCTGTATATGTGTTGCTTTTATTGGTTAATGAACAAAGCTGTTTTGCCCTCTAGCAGGGCAGAATATAGCCAGGCTGGAAGAGATATATAGAGAGAGTAGGTGGAGTCAGAGAGAGGCCTTGTAGCTGCCAAAGGAGAAGGACGTGCTGGAATCTTACCTGGTAAGCCACAGCCTCATGGAGATACACAGATTAATAGAAACAGGTTAATTTAAGATGTAAGAGTTACTTAACAAGAAGCTTGAGCTAATAGGCCAAACAACGTTGTAATTAATATAGTTTCTATGTGATTATTTAGTTCTGGGAGGTCAGAAAATGAACAAGAAGCTCCATTTACAGATGGTAACAATAAACTGTTGTGCACCCCTGAGTTAGATGTATTAGTCAATGCAACTAGGTGAGAGAAAGATGTTAGAGGTGTAAAAACTGAAAATATAACCGAGTGGTGGTGGTGCACACCTTTAATCCCAGCACTCGGAAGACAGAGGCATCTCTGTGAGTTCAAGGCCAGCCTGAGATTCAAGAGTTAGTTACAGGACAGCTATGGCCGTTACAAGGAGAAATTCTGTCTCAAAAAGAAAAAAAAAACCAAAAAACCAAAAGATAAAAATTGGAAATAAAAAGGAAGATTATTGTTTGAAAGCAGCATAGTTGTTTCCCTAGAAAACACAATACAGCAATTCAATTTTACTATAATAGAACTCAGTAAGGCAACAGAAAACAAAATGTATATATAAATTAATAGTTTTCATTTCTTCAGATTACTCCCAGACCTCCCAAAAATGTAGTAAAAAGAAGCCCACTTATAATAGCAGCAAAAATTTATAAGACAGCCTTGAACAAATTGAAGAAAGACTATGGAAGCGTGTACACATGAAAACTTTAAGGCAACAGAGACAGATACAGAAGATAAGGAACTGTTAAATGGCAATCGCAGAAATGCTTGTCCTTGTTAAAGATGTTTATCGGCTGGGTGCAGGGTTGTCTCAGTAAGTCTTATTGGAATTAGTAACTAGCCATTTGTAGAATAATAAAGTTGTATCTACATCTTAATATTATACTAACATAAATTACAAATTTAATTTATATTTGTATATATTTAAAATATGTATTTGTATATATTCAAAATAAAAATTAGTATCATAGTTGAGTGTAGTGGTGTACTTCTTTAATTCCAGCACTCGGGAGGCAAAAGCAGGTGGATCTTTGAATTCAAGGCTGGCCTGGTCTACATGGCAGGTCCCAGGTCAACCAGGGCAGCCTAGTGAGATAGTGAGACTCTGGCTCCAAAAGTTACAGAGACAAGGTTTCTCTGTAACCTTGGAGCCTGTCTTGGAACCAGCCTCATGATGACTGGGACTAAAGGCATGCACCATCATGCCCAGCTTTCTGTACACCTTTTTTGAATATGTATTTTGATGTTTGGGTTAGGTTACTCTCCAGTGCAGAGAGTCTAATACAGACATAAATATTACTTGAAGTCCTAATATGACAATCAAATCCAAGTAACTAGCTAGGTATGCTGGTGCAGGCCTATAATCCCAGTACTTGGGAAGCTGAGGTGGGAGGATTCCAATGAGTTTGAGGTCAGCCTCGACTACAGAGTGGATTTAGGCCCAGTTTGAACTTCAAAGCAAAGCTCTATGTCTTAATAAAACAAAACAAATAAACTTATTTTAATTCATCAGTCCTTGCAGTGCTTTGAAAAGGTGAAGCCCATAGTAGGACCTCACTATGCAGAGCCTTACTGTATAACCTTGAATTTGCTTGGAGTACATAGCTCAGCCACAGGCACAAGAGAGATTCTGCCTCAAAAAGCTTGAAGATGAGAACTGACTCCCAAAAGTTGTCCTCGGACCTCCAACATGTGCTACAGTTACGTGCACCATCCACACACTGACTACACAAAAGGAAAATGGATATTATAGAAAATAGCTTCCACTCATTAGAATTATTAAAAAGACACTGAATTTACCTCAGCTCCCAAATGCTAGGTTTACATGTGTGAGCCACCACCCCTCAGCCAACAATGGTTCTTGATTAACTATAAGCTCCTTTCTTTCAGTTCCTGTTTGCATTGCCATCGTTGTTCTAGCCTTTCAGCATAACGAAACAGACAATCAGTTAAACACACAACAAACTGTACCTGTTGCTGATCGTATCGGGAACATGGACCTTCAGCTCTTCTGTGACCTCTCTCATCACCCGCTGGTAGCCAGACATTCCTGGGTCTTTGATATAAAGAGTATTGTTTCTCATTAAATATTCCCCCAAATAATTAATTGGATCAAACTTGGTTGGGATATCAGCTTTGCTCAAAAGTTTCTTCTTTTCTACTTGCATTAACATCTGTTCGACTCCAGGAATCAAGGTGGGTAGAAGCTTGTCCAGCAAGTAGGCCCGGGTAGTTAGCGTCGTGCTTTCAATATCAAACCACTCTTTAGCCAGGTCATCCCTTGGGAGCTGTTTTGCAGTCTTCCTTTCCTGTTCCCTTTTCAGCATATCCTTCTCTAACATTTTCTGCTGCATGGCCTGGGCTCTTGCTTCTACTCTCTCATTGAGATTGTTCTTCCATGGCAGCTGTGCTTTGGACTTCAGCTCACTTTCTTCCATACCAAGAATCACTTCTGCCGGTTTTCTTAGCACAAAGTTCATGGCAGCTGAATGGGACTCCTTTGGTGAACCAGCTGAGAAGAAAAAAAATTAAATGTAAGACATACTAGAAGTATGAGCTGGAGATATGGTTCTGTGGGTAAGAGTTCATACCGTTCTTGCAGAGGACCCTGGTGGGTTCCTAGCATCAACACTACGCAGCTCCCAGGGACCTGTACCGACTGCTCCAGGGAGATTGGAGATCTGATGCCTCAGGCATCTGTGGGCTCCTGCACTCATGTGCACATATCCGCGCACAGATACACATACATGTAATTTTACATTAGAAAGTATAAGAAATACTATAAATAGAGTTTAGTTGATGACTTTAGGATATATTTAACAACAAAAACCTCAAAATGGTCTTATATCCTTTTACATGGTTTACTGAGCACCATCCAAGCAAAAGGCCTGAGAACAATCATTTGAACCAGAAAAGTATTTGCTATTGTGCTGTGGAATATTAGTTTAAAATGTGCTACATTTGTTTGTGCTGGGGGACATTGTTTTAATGATGCAAAGATGTGTTACATTCTTTTATGCTGAATTTGTTTAACTCTGTGATGCTGCATTACTTTGCCTGCCTAAAATACCTGATTGGTCTAATAAAGAGCTGAACGGTCAATAGCTAGGCAGGAGAGAGAACCAGGCAGGGCTGGTGGGTAGAGAGAGTAAATAGGAGGAGAAATCTGGGGAAGAGGGTGAGGAGTGAGAAGAGGAGAAGGAAGAAGAAAGAGAGGAAGAACAAGAAAAATGAGAAGAATGAGAGGAGGAGAGAAGGAGGGGGCACGCCAGAGTAAGAGGCCAGGCTGACTCCAGCAGTGAGGGTGAGAGAGTCAGAGTAAGGAAGTTAAGAAGCCTAGAGGCAAAACATAGGTAAAGCAAAACAGGCTAATTTAAGTTAAAAGAGCTAGCCAGAAAAAGAGCTAAGCTAAGGCCAAGCATTCAAAACTAATAATAAGTCTCTGCGTCACGATTTGGAAGCTAGTTGGTGGCCTAAAAGGAAAAGCCCGTTACACTACTGACATAATCAGAGGTCGGCAGGCAGCTCAGTGCCTTTAATAAACAGCTAACTTGCTGCTACTTTGTGTACTTTCTATCTCAGAGACAAGACTGACCGTCAGCTCCAACTCCTGCCCCCCTTTCTCCCCCCTCCTTTCCTCCCTCCCTTCTTCTCCCTTCCCCACCTGCCTTCTTTCCTTCCTTCATATGACTGTTTTTTCTTTTTCTTTTTCTTTTTTTTTTTTTTG